TAAATAATAATATACTAATAATAATACTTTAGGGCCTGATGATGTACGCCTCTCCGTGGAGGGCCTAGATAGGGGAATTTTATTCCCTGAACTAACCGTACATCACCCAGTTAGGGCGGACCCCCCGAAGCTGGTTTTACACTGGGTTACCGAAAGCCAAGGAGAATATAATCATTCAACTCGGCAGCCCAGTCAGCCTTCCTCCGGTAGTCAAACCAACCTTACTGGAGATGGGACTTGCCTCAGGGGAAGGCACAGCACCCGATCAAGAATATCTTGGTCAAACCAGCTGAAAAACACACTACTAGAGTGTGCAAGAGCGACAGGATGGTCTGCAAATCCGCGAATAAACGGCAAGTCGCTTAAGCTGCATTGGGACAATGCCATGCCCATGTATGCTTTCCTGACGGAGCAAAATCTCCGAGATCTATTCCGGCGGCTTAAAAATCTCATGCCCCGTGAGCCAGTTCAACCCATAACTGATGCCCGTCAGGAACCTTTGCATGAGCAGAATGCCCAAGTGGCAGAAGACCCAAAACTTCTGATGGACGTCCATGTTAACCTCTCTCCTCTTCCTGATGGAAACTCTTCCGGCACGTAGCCAGTTGGCCCCAAAATTTCGGATCCTCACTCTTCTTCTTCCTCAGTTGCAGATCTTTCCGAAAGTCCTGTGTATATTTTGTTTCATTCTTTTTATGATGAAATATCTGATTTACCTTTAGAAAAGCGGAGGCCAGTTAAACTAATAACAGAATCTTTTCCCAAAAATGAAATTAATTTACTAAATGACATTTTTTCTATGAAACTTTCTGTGGACTGTTCATTACATGACATTAATTGTTGTGTCTATGCTGCCGCTCGTACCTTGGAGGAACTTCACACAGTTTCCAAAGAAAACACAGCCAATACTAAGAACAATAGACCAAAGAAAAACCGGTTTCAAGTGAAACTAACAGAAACTAGAAAATACATTTCCTGGATAAAGCTTTGCCTGAAGTTAGGATCATCAGGGAATCTTATGTCTAAACGACAAATGGCAATTTGGAGAAAATTAAAACTGAAATCCAAAACAGCGAAAGAAAAGATACTTCTCCAAATTGTCGATTCCCTGAAGGCAAAAATAAAGGTTTGCAATGCATGAGAAAGTAACTAGGTCGTTTATCTGTTACATCTCACCAGATTGCCTTAAAAGTGTTATAAAAAAGTGTTATAAAAAAGTCCAAATCTAATACAGCTCCAGGGCCTGATGGCATTCGAAACCGGTATTGGAAACTGTTCCCCTGTGTCCAAACACCATTACTACACTGTTTCAATAGTCTCGTGGACACAGGTGATGTTCCTCCATGGTTCTGCAAAGGTCGGACAATACTTCTCCCCAAGAAAGGAGACTTGACGGATCCCAAAAACTTCCGCCCTATCACATGTTTGAATACACAATACAAAATATTCACAGGGTGTTGACAAACCTCGTGTCATCTTACTGCTCTTCCAATGATATCATTTACAGAGAGCAGAAGGGAGCAAGAAAGGGATGTTGGGGGTGCAAGGATCAACTTCTTGTACAGAAAATGATTTTGGAAGAGGCTAAAACATACCACCGCAACCTCTCCATGTGCTGGATTGACTACAAAAAAGCATACGACTCTGTCCCTCACGAATGAATTCTGAAGTCTCTTCTTTGTATTGACCTCCCTGAGCGACTACTTGATGTACTCAAGTCTTTAATGAGTTGCTGGTCGACTCAACTTGAGATGTACTCGCAAGGGCAGGCGCAGACTTCGGAATCTATTCCAATCAGAAGGGGAATATTTCAGGGGGGATTCCTTTAGTCCTTTGCTTTTTTGTCTGTCTTTAAATCCTTTGAGCTTTCTGCTCAATAAAGAGGAGGATTACCATCCCGGACCTCCTCAGCACAGATCCCAAACACCTCTTACTCATCTCTTTTACAAGGATGACATCGAGCTCCTTACCAAAGGAGATTCCAATTTGAAAGAGCAGGTTCTCCTTGTCGAGTGCTTTTCTAATGATATTGGCATAACATTTGGACTCGACAAATGTAATACTCTTCATTTGAAACGTGGCAAGGTAACTAATGACGGATCGGTCAAGTTACAAGGGGGAGGAGTTATTGATCATCTTGTGGAAGATCAGGCCCACACCTATCTTGCAATGCAAGTTCGAGACAAGCTCCAGAATGCCCAGATTCAAGACAAACTTCGGGCCGAGTACAAATCTCGCTTAAAGAAAACTGGAGCTCAGAGCTAATTGCTCGAAACAAGGTCAAAGCCACAAATACTTTTGCTGTGCCAGTCCTTTCTTATTCCTTTGGAGTAGTTGATTGGACAAAACAAGACATCCAGAGTCTTGACCGTCTGACCCGAAGGATCATGTCTGATAACAGATCCCACCACCCTCGTTCCTCTCTAAACTGTTTATACATGCCAATCAATTCTGGAGGTCGGGGTTTGATTAAAGTGTAAGCTCTTCATGACAAAATTTTATTGTGTACTTTTGCACATATTTATTTATCAGATGATCCTCTTGTGATGCATGTCAAGGCTCATGATGAAAGCAAGGAATTCCACAGCTATTTTAAGCGTGCCAAGGTTGTTGGACAGAAGCTGAAATTTGAGGTTGATTTTGTTGATGGCGATGTACTGCTGGACGGTACAGTGATGGAAGTAAACCAGGTGAAGTCCTTCACCAAGTCTGCCCAGAGTCGGTCTTTTGTGGAGAAGCTTTCTGAGAAGCCATTGCAACGTGTGTACATGCAGTGTGTTGAACAGAATAGCAATCCCACCGACTCCTTCGCCTGGATGAAGTCGGCTGGTCTTACATGTGAAACTGAGGGCTTCCTTTTTGCTGCTCAGGACCAGTCACTTCCCACTCACAATCGCCTAAATGTGATTCTTAAAGAAAATATCAATATGAAATGTCGACTTTGCAATGAATTCACCGAAACTGTCCAACACCTTGTCAGTGGATGTCCTTCCTTGGCACAAACAGCATATCTTAAACGACATGATGGCATGGCTCGGTGCTTTTACTACGGTCTCCGACATGCCTGTGGCTTTGACTCCGAGGTCCGTCCATGGTACGACCCTGAACATGTCCAGGGCGTCATGGAAAATGATGCTTTCAAACTTCTGTGGAATAGGCCCATATACAGCCTGAGAAGAATTCCAGCCAACAAACCTGATCTTGTCCTTTTTGATAAAGCCAATGAATTTATATATATCATTAAATTTTCTGTCCCTTTTGACACCAATGTGACTGCCAAGATTCAAGAAAAGCATGATAATATGCAGACCTCGCCTTTGAAATGTCTCGATTGCACCCAAAGTACACTGTCGTCAGGCTCCCCATTGTTCTCGGTGCCCTTGGTTTGGTACCTCCTGAACTCTAGGCGCAGATCAGGAGAGTGCCCGGGCTCTCCACCGGGAGCACAGCCCTTCTGACACTCTGGGTAATGCAGAAGGCTGCAGTGTTGGGGAGCCTTCATATTCTCCGGAAAGTTCTTGGTGGGTTCGACTAGGCAGTGTTTCCTGGGAGAAGTCCCATTCGCTGTCTGGGCTGCGTGTAGAGGGGGCAAGGGCTGATGATGAGCCTTACCAGCCTGACTGCGCCAGGATCACCCGAACCCTCTCTGCTGCATTTTCATCTTTAATCTGTAAAACATAATAATAATAATAATAATACTTTATTGCCCAGGAAGGGAATTTGTCTTGCGTTATGGACGCTGGAATTACAATAAATACATATATCCATTACACATACATTACAACACGAACAACATCAGTCACACGACCTGAGGAGCTCTCACAGATCACAGTGAGCAATCAACAGTGGTTAAAATGATTTAAAGTATGTTATAACATGACCAAATGTTGTTGTTTCAAAGATTAAACGAATGTAAAGGGGAAGGATAAAACTAAACATTAAGAAAATAAATAAATAAACTACAATGTATAACACTTTAGGAATAGCACTGGATACAGAACAGATACATAAAACACAGTAGAATGCTAAGAATAAATAAAACTACTTCTGTTTGTTTAAAATAACAATACTGTATGGGATAAATGAGTCGGTGGCTCTCTTTGTCCTGAGGCGGGGAGTTTGATAGCGGCGCCCGAAGTTTATATTCGGGATGAAGAAAGTGGTTCGAATCTGTACAAATTTTGAGTGCTAGATTTCTGACTTGCCGCTGACCTAGACATGTGATGTCCTCGAAGGTTGTACCTGAAATTTTGCCTGCTTGAGTTATTGTTTTGGAGAATTTGTTTCTTTGTTTTATTGCGAGAGCCCCCGACCACGCTTCAATGGAAAAACAAAGAACACTTTGGATAAATGTTTTGTAGAATAAAACAAGCGTGGGTGTGCTAACTTTGAAGGATCTAAGTTTTCTCAGGAAGTACAGGCGTTGTTGGCACTTAGCATAGATTCTGTCCTTATTTCTAGTTCCAGTTGAGCTTATTGTCTATAACAGTTCCCAAATACTTATAGTCTGACACGATTTCTATATCACAGACAGCTGTCCCGATATTCGTATTGGTAGCGGACATTAGGTGTGAGCTCATCTAATTTATTCTTTAGAGATCGCACATTTGACATCAGTATACTGGGGAGTGGTGGCCGGTATTTACGGGCGCGAGCACGCGTACGTACACCTCCCTTCTTACCTCTCTTGCGCTTCGTATGTTGGTAAGGTTCTCTACGCACACATTCCAAAGGTAAATCCAAGTTAAAGCCAGTCACTGATGAATATCCAGAGTATGACATGAGAAAGTCTCTAGCGTACACAGTCTCGTGTCCGCCATGTTGGCTTGGGTTTGAGTGAGCACTGAGAGTCCAACAATACAAAATGTGATTTGACAGCAAGATCAGGTGAAATAACACAAATATTCGGTTTGTGTTGAATGAAACGTTCGTTGTAGAATACATACTCATGTAAAATCACACATACAAGCACCATTTATTTATAGATCGCAGCAATAGAGCTGGAATTTTGCTGATAATATGAGACATATGAAACCAACCAACAAATGTCATCAGTTCCCTTACCTTGTCGGTAGTATATTTGCAAATCATGACGTGGGTGTTGTTCTTCGTTTCTAATATGCTTCCTATTGTTCAAACAGTAAAATCTTGGCATTGTTTGTTCGTTTTGACCTTCTATTTGTTATTTGTTTTTGTGTCTATGAAGACGTTTAATTCAATCGGAAGAATTCGAGTTTGAAGAGACAAAGCGATTTTATAATCGAAACTTTCCACCGTGATTACGATGAGTCCATGTAGTATAACATAACAACATATGTTTATAGGTCCGCATAGATGGGCACCGTCGGAAAAACTGTTCATCAATAAGCCATTGATCAATATGTTACCCGTTTAAATATTGTCAAGATGTCAATATGAAACATTAAACCAGATACTAGAGTAGAGTGTTTCCGGTACTGGTGCGTACCAATCTTATCCATAAATCGTCACACTAGGCGTTTGATACTTTAGTTATAGTGACATGCTCCTTGAATATTCTCCTCTAGCTTCCCGGAACTATTGCCAGAAACGTGCAGCATGTTCAGCTTGTTCTCACCATCACCATGACTTACAGCTCAGCTTTGCAATGTGGCATTCTGACATTTTGCCACCATAGAAGTTTGGATGGACAAATGTTCAATGACACCTTCATCACTGAAAGCAGCTTTTCTTACAAAGCTGCCTGTTTGTGGATGTGTCTCCGTAATCTGCAGTGCAACATGGTACTGCACAATCCACGTCTCAGCGTTGCCGGTTGTACTATTCATCCGTCATCACCGGGGGTGAACAAGAGGCAGGCTGGCAGTATTATACAGGTAACGAATGCTGTATGTCATTCTGGTGGTTTTCTTATAGTAATACATTATCTGTGTTTGTTTGTTTAATCCTGGTCAATTAATTTCTGCATTTCGAAATGACTTGTGGGAATACACATTCTGAATTGTTGTTTGTTAGTACAATCCAGGTTTACGTCTTTGAGTGGCCTGTTAGAAGTTGAGAAGCGCAGGCATGCACAACGGTACAAGAACATGTATCAAACGTCTCACTCACAAAATAAAGAAATTGTTATCCATAAAGTTTGTCTACAATGGGTACAGGTTTCTTCGGGGATCTCAATTTGAATTTCATCAAAACCAACACAAAGTACCCATCTTCGATCTCTTCTGCTAAATAAACAGCAAATAAACAGCATGAACCTTGGAGTGTAAGATGGATGCATTGATGAACAACCTTTGAGTTTGCAGCTTCAGACTTGGCGATTCATGAAATTCCCAAATTCTTTGTTACTCATAGCTTATTCCAAATACTACACGTGGTCAGTTCTGAGAGAACATGTTGTCAAGTGTAGGCTGGCGGTATTATACAGGTAACGAATGCTGTATGTCATTCTGGCGGTATTCTTATAGTAATACATGATCTGTGTTTTTTGTTCTTTAAAGTTGTACTCATCCCTAATCCCGCTATACAAATAGCACATAACTGAATCTGGACCACACAAGTTAGTTACTGACATTAGGTGTATCGGTCTTTGCAGTTATGATATTTAGTTAGAATGATTGACATGATGTTCACTCATATTCTCCTAGACAGTTATGATCTTTGTTTGTTTTTGACACCCGGCTCAAGAATATTCTGGCTACGTGATGTCAGTCTGTAGATATTTGACCACACAATCCAGTGATTGACATTATCAGCATCGGACAACGCAGTTAGGATACAGCGGCGTTAATTAACGTGTATTGTAAACCAATTGTGAGTGCTTTCCGCAATCTGATTGGTTAATTACCCTTGAACTGCTCTGCAAATTTCAAGCATTCGTGTATTTAATTTGGACAATATTCCAAGTTTAAAGATTATTATTGAGCCAAAGAATCAGTTAATGATACTTGTTTCTAGATATTGATCTTCCAAAATACACCAATCCCAGCACTCCGGACGTTTCCACTTCGAAATTCCAGCGCTAACGCTGACCCGGCTCCATCTTGTACACCGAGCGTCCCTCCACAGTCCCGCTTTGCTAAGGTTGATGAGAATGGCCTGAGGGAAATAATTGATGGGTCATTATCGAAAACAACTGAGAGAAACACAATTTTCTTCAGAGGTGTGCATCGTTAAACATTTTGTAAACAAACCAAAAGGAAGTTACGTTAGTTACCTCCCTTTCGCTAGACTGCCACACGGCTTCTAAACAGAATTATCAAAGGCATAAAAGCAAATATAGTTATTTTTTCTCAAAAACAGCTTTCAACATGATTTACATCTGATCTAACACTGAATGATAATATCATGGCGATAATAGCAAAAAATAAATATTAATCGGTAATAATGAAAAGGTACTAATGCAGTCTAGGAAATCCCACTGACACAAGCCCAAGCATATCAAAACAATTAAAAATGTTGAAATCTTACCTTTTGTGTCCGGTTTCATCCTTCAAATTGTACAAATTCCACATGAATCCCAATAATGAATCGTTCTTTCAACATCCGACTTCTGTCGTCGATATCCGCGATTCTGTTGGGTACACCTCACTTCAGTCACGATGCGTTGGCAAAAAATCACTGTCACAAATGATGAAAAACATATCCAAGAATGCCAAGTTGCCACACACATACACAAATCACTGCCTTCGCGCAACAGCCGTCATTCTGCTATCCCATGCCGGAATCGAGTTGAAAGTTTATAATCATACTGCACCGAATCCAGCAGTGTACAGAAGAGGTCGTACTCGGCCATTTTGCAGGGGTCTGATCGCCAACGCGTCGATTCTCGTGCCGTTGCCACTGTTTCATCATCTTGGCCCTTTTCACACTTGCAAAGTTCTTCAATTGTGTCCGTGATGGGAATGTTTCAGGGCATACACAATTCTACTATAAATGTCAGCTTTGTTAATCGACAGTAGGCCTAACTTTACACGATCAAATCCTTGTGGTCATCCTTGATTGGACCAGTCTACGTAAGATTACATGAGGTGGAGATGGTAGCATAAAATGGAATTCTTTCATGGTCATTGCAATTCCAGTGGTATTGCAGTAATTGAGATTGTAATGTTACTCATCAAGTTTATATTTAAAAAGGACTGAATACATTTAGTTTTGTGTATTATATTGACAGTTATTCATTTCGAACATGACGTAACCTATCTCCCCCATTAGATAATAGCGTAACCCTTCTTTTGTCGTTTCTCGTATCTGGGGCGACAGCGAACCTGACCACGAGAGGCTAACCGCATTGCGACACACGATCGCGCTACATTCAAAGAGCTCCTTGGAAAAAGGCTTCTCACTACAAATTGGTTTACAATATCGATAAATAGTTTGGTTTGTTCAATTTCCGGGATTCATTGGAATTCAACATAGGCAAATTTTAGCGTTTAAAACCTCCGGCTAACGCCGTCGGTTTTAAACTAAATTTGCCTATGTTGAATTCCAATGAATCCCGAAATTGAAGAATTCGATGGAATTCAACATAGGCAAATTTTAGCGTTTAAAACCTCCGGCTAACGCCGTCGGTTTTAAACTAAATTTGCCTATGTTGAATTCCAATGAATCCCGGAAATTGAACAAACCAAACTATTTATCTTCTTACTGGATATTCCAATAGAAATATACCACCTGAAATTTCACATGTTAAAGATTCACTGACCTTACAGAAGTCAAAGGGGGTTATGTTGTTTAATCTTCTTATTTATTTAATTATTTATTACTTGTTTTCATCAAATGTTGCTTTTACAAACCTAAAGGCACAGACATCTGAAAAATTGTGGGATTTTTGTAAGGAAATTCACGTTTGTTCCAAGCCTAATAACGTACTTCCATAACATTGTAATGCAGATATTATTGACACAATATGCGTTATTTTCCTTTTAGTAGAATCTATTGAATTAAAAAACCTGATGTATTGTAAAACAAATGTATTTCCCAATCGTCTGAACAGTCTGAATACTAAATTATCTCTCCATCTTTTCCGACACATCGATCACTTGATCATCTGGTTTGTTCACATGCAACCAGTAGAGCAGGACATTCCGTCTCAACACCGATTTTCAGTGCTCTATCTAAATACATTTTTACTGCTATTTTTTCCCTTACACCAGTAGGTGTGTAAGACTGGGTGTTCCTTTGCACGTACTTTTTTTATTTATAACATTTTATATATGCATGGGACAATACGCCTGGCCTCAACACAAATACAGAATCCATTGTTTGGTTTGTTTCTAATAAACTCTTACAAAAAGAAACGCATATAGGAATTTCGACTGTATTTTTATGCTTAATTTGAAACATCTTGTAGGCTTTATGAGTGAATGAAATATAGCGAAATTGCACACTGGAAATGCAGACTTATCCGTCTTTGGCACCAACTCGAGGAAAGTCAGTTTGAGTGTCACATGGAGACGTGTGGTGGCGCTGAAGCCAATACCTCGTGTGACCACCCTGGGCATCCAGAACTGCATGGCATTGCCTCGGCATCGAACGAATAAGTCTCAGAATCATGTGTTGCCCAATCGCAGCCCACTCTGCCTGTAGTGCCTGTGCAAGTTGCTGAAGTTTTTTGGGCTGAGGGTTACGTCGTCGCACCCGTCTGTCCAGGGCATCCCACAGATGTTCGGTCGGGTTTAAGTCTGGTGATATTGAGGGCCAGGGGAGCTCATTGATGTAGTGTTTCTGGAGGAAGTCTCTAGTGTGACGTGCTGTGTGGGGCCTCGTATTGTCCTGTTGAAACAACTCCCTCTGGCGATTAATGATTGGAAGGAGGTGTGGGCGTAGGATTTCTTCACAGTACCGTTGAGCTGTCAGGTTGCCCTGGATCATCACCAAATCACTTCAGCCAGTTTTTATATTGTATTGTCCAAATAGTGCTGTTAGTTTTAATTTTCCACACTAGTTTTAGTTGTAATTGTGATATTCTAGTTGTGTTACTGTCCTTCGTTGACATGTTTTTACCATATACATCTATTCCATTTCAATGTCAC